AATTTATTTAATAATATATGAAAGTTTAATAAAAAAAATTATTTATATCACAGATCTTTTCTATTGTTTGTGTGTTTATCTAAATGAATTGGTTTTAAAAATACTTAAATTTATGGAATCACATCTAATTTAGTGGCTAAATTTATTTTACAATCTTAATCCAATTCTCAATTTTTGGGTCAATTTCAGTCGAGGTTCAAGAGAACAAGAAAAAAAAAAAAAACTGAATGAAGTCATAACCTAAGGTTTTTAACCAACGGTATATGAATCGAGCCTAAGATTGATTGGTCTTGTGCTTCAAAATTCTTGTTCGGCATTAGTTTATTAAGAAAATAAGTGGTTTGGAATTGAGAAAGACCGGGACCGCCTGTTTTTTCCTTTGGCTTTTTTTAATCTTGGAAATTTGATTAAAGTTTAGGGGTTTATGTGTATTACTTAAAGTTTGAGGGCTCAATTGTTAATCTAGAGTTAGTTCAGGGATTTAACATATGGTTTTGCCAATAATTAAACTTCATTTCAGGAAAATAATAATTTATTGTAAGTGTTTTTTTCTCTTAAAAGGATCCGAGCCAGAGCCTGAACCGGGCCTCAGACCCAATGTTCAGGAATCCAGACCGACCCATTATTGAGCCAGTGCTGCCTAGTCTCATGGATTTTCTAACTTCAGCGGCCCAACCCAACAAACGTGCTGGGTTCACTATCCAACCGTTCGTTCTTATTGACAACCCGACCCGATCCCGGATTATCAGGTCAGAAAGCTTCCTATTTCGCCGGCGATCAGTACGAAGAAAACGCTTCAGATGAAGAGGTGGGAAATTCCGATTTGCAGACGAATTTGAGAGAAACATGGAAGAAATCGAAACCCCAGGGGAATTCGCAAGCTTTCCGGCGGCTCCTTTTATCTTCTTCACGGTTATCGCTTTCCAATTTGCCAGCAGGTGGCTCCAAGACTTTAAAAAGGTATTACTTAATCTTGATTTTGTTCATCGTCTTGCTTTTGATATGGATGTCAAACTTGATCTGTTTCCGCTTGATTCGTGATTTTTTTTTAGAAAGGATCCAGGACGGATAAGGAGGTCCGGTTGCATGGAGAAATTAAGCAGTTGTTGAAAGAAGCCAGCTCCTTGTCGCAGTGAGTGATTCTATCGCTAATTTGATCGTAATTGGCCTCGGTTTGATCGAATCGTCGTTTAAAAACACTGTTAATGCCTAAAAACTGGATCTTGCCATTGTCATTCATGTGCGATTGTTTAATTGGATTCTGTGTTGTTGGTGCAGGCCGTCGACATTTGCACAAGCGGCAAAGCTTAGAAGAACGGCAGCTGCTAAGGAGAAGCAACTTTCAAATTGTGAGGCTGTTTCCTTGTTTTGGACTGTTTTTAATGTTTAGTAAGATATCAATGTTGTTGGCTATCCATGCATAGTTTGTAAACAGTTGACATGGATTTCTTGGACAACACTTTGTGCTGTTTTGGATTCCATACAATGTAAATTGGCAAGTGGAAATAAATAATTGATAGAAGGATTTGATTTGGATCAATGGGACTGGTTTTGTGTCAGCTTGGTGGATGATTGTGTAAAATTTCCTTTGTGGTGTTGGGTGTAAAATTTCCTTTGTGGTGTTGGGACCTGAAAGACAATTAAAGGTTAATGACTGCATTGTCCTGTCAAATGTTAAGTCTGTGGCTGTAATTCCCACTTCAAATTATGACTTTGTGTATCTAGGTGTCACTTAATTTCAGAGATCGGTTACGATGTCAATTGATACACATTGCACATGCGCGCACACACACGCACACACACGTATGAGCAATACTTTGCATGTTCTTGGCCCTCCCTCTTCTTTTATATTGCCAAGGTGCATGTTCCTGCAATACTGTGTTTTTAGTGGCCTATATGGCTATATCTGATTGAGGGCACCAAAAGGAAAGGCACAGAATCTGTCTCTCTTGCCTTGTTCTTCTTTCTTTTTCTTTCTGAGAGAGTTCCTTTCTTACACGGCCTTATATAGTTTTATATGCTCCTAGTGTTTCCTTTTTATTCTTAGAATCTGTTTAGTGTTAATTCATAGTGATAGAAGCTTCTGACACTTTGATTTCCAGATCAAGAGCAACGCAGCGAAGAGATAAAGCTGTCTTATGACTTGTATCTGAAGGCTTTTTTCATCACAAAGGTCAGCCTGTGAAATTGTTATTGGAACTTTGGAAGTTTATCTGTTTGTTTCCTTCATGAAGGTCCTACACTTTTTCCATTTTTGGTTGTGTAGATTGCAACATATTTCATGCTGATAGTTTGGTATTGGAGGTCTCCTGTTGCTTCTGTCCCTCAGAACCTTCTGCAACCATTTGGTAAGCCACTGTGCGATGGCTATTATACCTTTTTATCAATGTTTAGTAATACACTTTTACCTTTTCCTTTTCTTGTTTGCCTCTCTATAAAGTTCTTTTGCGTATTTCATGATCCAGCTGATATAACATACTGCTACAAACCACCGCTCTAGATTTAGATTTAGCTAAAAGCTGGCCATTGTGATTTGTACAGAGGAAAACGGGAGAGTACATGGGCAGAAAGAGTCAACAAAATTTTTGAGAAAGTAGCTACTCTCTATTAATTGATTGTAACTGCGCTTTCGCAGGGAGGTTCTTATCTTGGAAGGCTGGAGATTCATTGAATGACAAGATCATGGTAAACAATCTTGGCACCTGACTCCCTTTTCTATTTCTTTAAAGAAAAATGCAGATGACTTTCTCCGTAATATCCAACAGCCAAATTAAGTCCAAAACTAAAATATGTAGCAAGCTGAACGTGGTGGTTTTTGAATGTTGTTCTGATCAATAGTCTAACTTGCAGATTGGGATAATACCATGGTTGATATTGTCTATGAGAGTTAGCAGATATGTTTGTCGAATTATCTAGTAGGAAGGAAGAGCATAACCATTTTCTTGTTGCTAGTTAGGAGAAGCATGATCTGTTTTGATTCTTTGTCCTACTTCACGACGATTTTTACTGACTTTGGCAACTTCTCCAAAATCAGTACTTATAATGTAAATTAAATTTTGGAGCAGCAATTCTGCTTCTTGTAAAACTCCTTATTTATTATCCAACAAAAGAACTCATTAAAACAGTGGGATCATATGCACTTCAGAACTGATTAGCATCTTTTATTGTCTGCTAAATTGATTTTTAGTCTCTCTGCATGTGCATTACTTGTAGAAACAGACTCCGCAAACATTCAACTTGCAAAATTGTTAATAGATGTTTTCATTTAATCCAGGCGTTTTGGTAAAACCCATACTAGGCTCCTATGGTGGATTGGAAACTGGGTTTATTGAGATCTTAACTTGCAAGTTAGCTAATTGAGTATTAGGAATTCAGCGTTGCTCAGATGAGAAGTTAAAAACCGTCTTTTTCCCTTTTTACTTAAAGGATCATTCTAAGCAAAAGCAAACATTCTCTAATGAGTAATGCCACAGTAATCTCTCTTCTTCTTTTTTTTAAGTAAATGCAAAGTTCAAGTGTGCTTGACTTATTTAGTTAAGTGATTATTGCTATTTTGTTAAGGTACAGTTCCGACTTCTCTTAGAGTTGGGCTCAAACATCTATGATACCTTATTCAAAAGAAAAGAAAAAACGAAATTCAAGTTGCATGGCACGTAAACAAATTGGCATATGATTAAACATAAGTTTTAGACATATAAGGTGGTCATCTCATTGCTTTATAAAAGAATTTACATTTTATATTGTTAATCATAATTATTTTTACAATATCAATAAATAAATAATTTTTTATGAATTTCTTAATTTTTACTAGAATAGCTTACCTTTCAAAGGATTGAAATGTTGGCATAGTTTTAAAATCTAGAATACCATTCTCACCCCGAAAAAAAAAGAAAAAAAAAAGATAAGAAAAAAAATCTAGAATGCCAATATGCCATTCATACCTACATAAAAAAAAAAAAAATGGAAAAAGGAAAAAAAAATCCGTCTAATTCCATGTACATAGATAAAATCTGTTTGGGCCGAAGCCTGCAAAGCCCAATTTCCTAACGGCATTGACGGCCCGTAATTTAAAGGAACGGCGAACAAATGCCGGCGAGAGACACAAATCGTGTTTCCAGCCCAGACAATAAAACTAAGAAGTAAGAAACTCGTCGAGAAAAAAAATACAGACATAATATTTAGGGTTCAACTTTTGTTCTGCGAGCAAGCCACCGTTTCAGGGGCTGCTGTTCTCGCTGCTTCGGTCGGAATACGGAATCTTCAAGAAACCATGTACGGATCAAGAGGGTAAGTTAAGCAAATCTATAAAATCTATCTCCTTAATTTCATGGCGGTGTTTGTTCTAATTGCTTTAAAAACATAATCTTTACGGAAAGATTCATGTTTCTTTGATTGATTTGCTAGGAGTTCTGGTAATCTATGCGTTCTTTAATGGAATTAGGGTTTTTGCTTTACTCTGGTTTGATTCTCGATTGATAACTGGAGAATAAAATAGGAGGAGTTATTTATGGAAATAACGATTGGAATTTAATTTTATGTTTTAAGAGTTTAGGTTGAATAAATTGCGGAATTTTCTGGGAATTGTTATGTGCTAATTGATTCTTTGTTTGGTATACAGATATAGACGGGCTTTGAAATAAAATAAAAATGAAAATTACGACTAAGTAGTGAATGTTCACCTAATCTATTTGAAGAATTTGGTTTTCTAATGCTTTATAATATTTTTTATGATGGTAATTTGCTTGTCAAGAGGTATTAGAAGATGAAAAATGAATTCTTTATAGTTGTTGTGTGTAGATAATTGGATATTGTATCTCATCTCTGTGCTGCATTGCATTTGGTTTTGTTTGTTCTTTATTGTTGTGTTGGGAGGGTTGATAAAAATGGCATGTGCTTTTAGTATAAAAAGTAGGGGTAAAGACATTGGGTGTTTGGGAAATGTGGGTTGGGTTTGGTTATTAACAGGTTGAGTGGGGGATTTTTCCTTTTTGGGTATGGATAAATGAAGGGCAATGTTGGGAAGCGGGGGGGTTTCGGACGGGTACGAGGTCGGCTCAAAGAGACAAAGAATGATGGAATCCACTCCCTACTTCGCAGTGAGCAGCAGTGCAGGTGGCTATCAACCATACAATTATGGTGGAGGCTTTCAGCCCCCTCCTTTTCCTGTGGTTCGGCTCAGGGGCCTTCCTTTCAACTGCACTGATATCGACATCTTCAAATTCTTTGCTGGACTGGACATTGTGGATGTGTTTCTGGTCAACAAGAGTGGACGTTTCTCTGGAGAGGCCTTTGTTGTCTTTGCTGGAGCCATGCAGGTTGAGTTTGCTTTGCAGAGAGATCGACAAAATATGGGCCGCAGGTATGTGGAAGTTTTCAGGTGCAAGAGGCAGGACTATTACAATGCTGTGGCTGCAGAGGTGAATTATGAAGGAATATATGAAAACGATTATCATGGAAGTCCACCGCCTTCTAAAGCAAAGAGGCATGAGAATGACAAGGATCAAATGGAGTACACTGAGATATTAAAGATGCGTGGCCTACCCTTCTCTGTGAAGAAACCTGATATAATTGAATTCTTTGTAGACTTCAAGCTTGTTGAAGATAGGATACATATTGCATGTCGCCCGGATGGAAAAGCTACAGGAGAGGCCTATGTGGAGTTTGAATCTGCTGACGAGGCTAAGAGAGCAATGTGTAAGGACAAGATGACAATTGGGAAAAGATATGCGGAGCTCTTTCCTTCAACACCAGATGAATTTCGACGAGCTGAGTCAAGATCAAGGCAGTGAAGAGGCAATATTGCATTGGATTCAACACTTGCCCCAGGACCAGGTTCCTCTGAGGTGTTTCAGGCAGTTCCACATGCTATGTTTTTTCCAATTTTCTTCAATTAGGTTGCACGTTAGTATATTAAATTTCATTACGTTTTGACTGGCTGAATTTTTGGCCATTTTATGGAGATAAGAACATTGAGCTTAATGCCATGCCGATACTAATTCCCAATTGCTGTCTCATAAAAACTTTTGCATCCAGACCTTGTGTGGAATTTGGCACTGGATGGCACTAATACTTCTGAAACTTGGGAGTCTTGAGTTATCCATTCTTCATTCAAGGACCTTGGCAGCTTGTGCTTGCCAGCCCATTTTACATTAACTATGCGATTTAGGTCTTTTTGCGACTCTACATTTCTTTGATTCCCTATCTGGAAGGTGAGAAACGAACTCCATGTAGCAAAAGGTTTGAAATTGAAACATTTCTCCGTGGGGCAAATATTTCGAAAGCTGGTTTTGGTGGAATGCAGTACATGCCGGCAACAGAATCCATTGCCAGATTATCCCACAAGATCTTAATAGAAAAGTATACTCAATATATCAATCTTAAATACAGAGACGATCCAAGTTACTATACTTTATTTGAGCAAAATTGGGACTACAACAAGATTTTGAAGAGATTTTCGAAAGAATGTTGATTGCTTTAATCACTGATAAAAAAACGAAGAAATTAAAGCTTAAAGAGCTTCCAAGTGAAAGGTCGAATTTGTTAATACAACTTTATTACCTGCTTCCTGGTAGTTGGTAGCTCAAAATTCAAGCACCATCGTGTGTTTGAAATCGAGGGTGATACTGAGCATGCTGCTAAGCAGGGAGAGAAGTTGAAGATTGACTAAATATGGATCTACAATCCTTCCTTTTCACCTTAAGAGCTTCAATTCTTTCCAAAGCTTCAACGACTTCCTTCATGGAAGGACGCTTCCTGGGATCAGGTTCCAGACATTTCAGAGTGAGCTCTGCGGACTGCCATGCTGCCTTAGGAGAATATTGACCCTCAATTCTCGGATCCATGATGCTCTTCAGCTTTCTCTTATGGGAGAGGCTTGGTTTGTGCCAATCCACCAGGTTCTGCTGCCCATTTGGCCGCCTTGTGTCAAGTGCCCTCAAGCCAGTCATTATTTCCAGCAGAACAACACCAAAGCCATAAACATCACTCTTCACATATAAATGACCTGTTGAATCAATGGAGAAAACATATTTCTTTTATTTTCTATATTTCATTTTTTATATTGTTTAGCCAATACCAAAGCAGAAGCTATATCATCACCTGTTGCAATATACTCTGGAGCAGCATAACCATAGGTTCCCATAACCCTGGTTGTTACATGAGATTCTCCAGCAGAAGGCCCCAATTTAGCCAACCCAAAATCTGATATTTTGGCGTTGTAGTTCTGGACAACATAACGACATTTATTTGAGAATGAAAGAAAGAGATTAGAACGAGCGAGATGAAATGACTAAGGAATAAAGCAGTGAGGACTAACCCCATCAAGCAATATGTTTGAGGCCTTGAAATCTCTATAAATGACTTTCTTATCTGAAGTGTGCAAGAAAGCTAGACCCTTAGCAGCTCCAATGGCAATTTTCAGCCTTAATTCCCAAGAAAGCGGCTCAATGTTTGGGTTTCCTGCATGACCATACCATCAATCAACACAGTTGAATGGATTCAAAATTTTCATTTTTTTTTTAATTCGATCTTTTTTCCGAACTCTTACGTCTAAATAAATGATTTTCCAAGCTTCCTCTTGCCATGAATTCATAAACAAGCAGAAGCTCCTTATCTTCCGTACAATATCCCAACAACTTAACCAAATTTGGATGAGAAAGCCTTCCTAGAAAATTCACCTCAGACTGCATAACAATGAAATAGAAAATGAATCAAAATTGAAAGCACCAAGCTCAAGAAAATTGCTTAACGCAAAGCTATGGAGGTATTGGTTCAGAACTTGAATTCCAGTCAATGGAAAAAGATAGTCACCCCATGCGGGACCCCATCTTGCAAATTCTCTCCAATGGTTAAGAATGGCTATAATTAGTCTTTTGCTTTTGCTTTCATTTTTTATTTAATGGTTGAATGGAGTCCACCAACCAAATAAATTTAATTAATTAAGAAAATTAGGGAAAAAGCAACCACAAAAAACCCTGTGACCCCTTTTTGATGATAAGATAACAGAACTAAAAATGGAATTCAGAGTGATCATGATTAAGGAGAAAAACAAGAATACCCGCCATTCTTCTAAACCTTGCATACTTTCTGGGCTTAATTTCTTAATGGCAACCAGCATTCCTGAGCCAGTCTTTGAGGGTTGCAAAGTCTTCTCATTAACCCAGCCTTTGAAAACTCTGCCAAATCCTCCCTCACCCAACAAAGTATCAGATTTGAAGTTCCTGGTTGCATTCTTCAACTCTGCAAAGGTGTAAATTTTCAAGTTGTGCCTTTCCAAAATTTGCCCATCTGGGTTCCTCTCCTCCACAATCTCACTCACTACCTCTGAAAACTGACTCCTGCAGTTGCTGCTGCTTGTTACTGAAAGTTCTGTAGTGTTACTATAGTTCTTTAATTCACCTATTACACAAAAAAACAGAAGATAATCAACACTCAACAGTGTTACCCAGAAAAGGAAAGAAACCCATAACAGAAAATCCATAAAGATGGAAACTTTATGGTTCACAAACCAAAGAAGGAAAGCAATTAACATGCCTAAGGATGTGCCTGGGGTATTATGGTTGGTGGAGCTGCCGATACTCTTTTCACGGAGAGAAGGAGATCCCAAGCAGTTTCCCATATCGAGCTTGTGCTTCTCTTTGATGCTAATGAGAGAAAAGAGGCAGCATAATCTACGGATGGGGCAAATGGAGGAGGGAATGATTAATAAAGATGAGCGGGGGATGGATAAAGGTGGGGGACTTTCAAGTTTATTTCCTAGTAGCCTTTTTGGATGTGAATTTTCTTTCCCAGATTTACCGCGAACCAACCAGCCCCCTTCATGGATTTTGTCAGGGACAAGAGAGAAGACAAAGTCGCGCTGTCTTCTCAAACCGTTGTTGTGTTTAAGGCAACGAAAAAGTGGCAGTCAACGTCTCAAACGAGAGCGAGTAGAGCCGGAGAGGTAATAGTGTCATGAAGTCAGCCCCACATGGAATTTCGTCTTCCATGGCATTGAAATTCAACGAATGCACATTTTTTTAATTGGGTAGAGCCTTTACTTTCCTCTCTCATTAGTTGTTTGACGTGGAGAAGGAGGTGTGGAATCTCCAACCTATTGATGTTATGATGAGTATCTCCCATGCAGCACTCTCATATTTCGGGTTCACACAAAAGGAACTTGATGTTATGTTATAAAGTAAAAAGAGAATTTTATTTTGTAATTTAAATTATAAAATAAAAATAATTAAATATAAAAAAAATTTAATGATAAAAATTATCCTCTATTTAGTGGATTTGATTATATAATTTAATTTAAAGTGCATAAAAATTATTTATAAAATAAATAATATTACAAATTTAAAAACTTTAAAGATAGATTGTGGTTATAATAACTTAATTTTTATTGAATTTAGTTATTAAAATTAATTAATAAATTATAAAAATTTTAATATGTATTGCATAAATTAAAATTAATTTATCTACAAATATTTTCTAACATCATGAAAATAATTTTTTAAAGAAAAAAAAAGCTACTTAAGCAAAATATCAATTGAGAATGACATTATGATCTAGTAGATATTAATTCTTTTACCCACGCGAATGAATAAATTAGTAAGGAACTCTTTCAATTTAATTAGAAGCTTTGGTTTCAAATTCTATGAATGTAATTCTGTTAAAACTCGTGAGTAAGAGTTTTATCATCGTTGAATCTGTGTAGTTTAAATTCAAATTAATCGATGATCTAGTAAATTTTCAGATACTAAATGATCTATATAAAAAAAATATTAATTCTTCTTAAAAAATTTCTCAAATTAATTTGAGACGGGAGTATTAAGCCCATCTCTAATCTTGAAATATATATATATATATATATCAAATTAGAGTTGTATGACTTCAAAAAAAAGAAAAAAGTGTATGACGACAACCTCTGCAGTAAAAATGTTATTCAATTTTGTCAGGAAGTGACGAATGCACGAACCTACTCCAAAAAAAAAAAGGTGTATGACCATAACCTCTGCAGTAAAAGGGTTATTCAAATTTGTCCAGGAAGTGACGAATGCGCAAGCCTCATCCTATCGTCATTCGGTTGTCATTTGAGACAGGGGAGACTGGTCTGCGTTTCAATCATCTTAATACATCAGCGATATAATTGGCTAATTGTGACATGTGCTTAATTAGTAATGGAGTTGCGTGCTGATTCACGCAGTTTCAACATTTAGAATACACTTATAATGGTTGTACTGAAGAATTTTCCTGAAAAAGAGAGAGAGACATCACTTTCCCAGCTGGTTTCGAGGACAATTTTCATGCCCTGTTTCACCTTTCTTCTCCCCTGTTTAGAGTGAAGAAAAGGGGTTTTTTGGTATGAAACGTTCATAATCAAATCCCTTTGAATTGCTTTCGTTGGATAAAGATATGCACAACTTACTGTGTTTAGGAACAGGCAAGTCAGCTGTGTCTCAAGTGGTTTGAATGGTTAGGCTATTTTTGGACAAGCAAATTGATGACATACTTAGTGATGTGAAATTCAAATTTTAAGTTTGATACTCTTTTATTTTTTAAAAGAATAAATATTAATATTATTAGTATAATTGTTATTTTTAAAAATAAAAATGAAGAAGGAAACAGGATCATGGATTTAAACTAAGAAAAACACATATCACGTAACAAAAGTCAGAACAGGAAGCATCCAAGAAACACATATACAATGTAAGAGTGTTGACTTTTGGTAAGATCATTGGCAATTTGTGGAAGCAAGTGGATGCACAGAAGTCTCAACAAATACCGAAATCAATTAAAGGGCGGTCCCCTTTTTGACTTTTGATAAACTAGCAAAATGAGGAGGAGGAAAACGGGCTGAAAGAAACACAGAATAACATACCAAGAAAGTTCATGAGAAACATTAGTTACATTACCATACATATGATGGGTATATACAATGATTTTAAGTTTGCCAATGGGAAAATTTCACCATAAGAAGCAAAACTGTGCATATGGGAATGGTGATGTTTCTAAAATTTGAGTCTTGTTCATGTACATTTGTTGTTCAATGCCCTAGATTGGGGGAACTGAAAGACATTGCTTTTTTAAGAGCTCTAGCCTTGTGCCTTCGCTTGAAAACATCCTGCCGAAATTGCTTGGTCTCACTCTGTAATTCAATGAAAGGTTTCCTCTCTATGATTTCCTTCTCAGTCTCCAACATCATTCTCCTCTTTGCCACAGCGAACGCTGCAGCCTCGTCCTCGTGCTGCCATTGTGCTGCCTCTTCCTGCACAAATTTTCTCTATAAACAAGCATGCTGACACACCACAACACATATACATGCACATAGTACACACAAATGCATATTTGAATGGGATATGATGTGTTTTGGTATAAAGATGATCATTAAACAACGTAAAGGTCAAATTCAAATGCATGTTAAAGGCAATTCTAGATTGACAAGTTATAATTATGACAACTTAATATGAGGAAATCCAATCCTGTTAGTAGAAGCATTATTCGAAGTCAATCTCAGTTGGTATTAACAAAATTGTCAACGTTCACCACATAGGAAACTTACAAAGATGTTAATGAGTTTTTTTATTCATTGTCAACAGATATCCAAAGAGAGGAAGAAAAGAACCTGAAGATCTCGAATAAGACCATCAAGGGATTTGATCTTCCTGTGAGGCCAGCGGGGAATTCCTAATTCTCTGCATTTTTTCTTCAGAACTGTTACTCCAACTTTCAAACTTTTGGAAGCTTCCACTATTGGAACATCAAAGTATTTTGCAAGATCTTCCATGGCAATTCTAGCTATGTCCTTAGAAGTTGCCCTTTTCTTCTTGACCATGACAATACCTGCATTTTCCCCAAATTTAAGACATCATGCCCAACCAAACAAAGCAGAACCGTAATCTCAAATAGGAGTACACGAAACACAACATCACTAAAATCCTCAAATTTAATCAGTTTCATATTTCCCCTGTATTTCACTTCCTTATGTAAAAGGCACCAGTAAATGTTAAAGAGAGGAGCCTTCAAGAATCACCCGTGTGGCCTTGCTCAGCTTTTTCAGGCTCAGATAACTCAGATGTAGGAGCTGAATTAGGAAGAAAATTTAGGTCTTGATCAAATACAGGCAGTCTTCTTGATGACTGGTTCTGGTTATCTCCATCTTCTTCAATTGTTCCCTCAGATGAAATCCCAGATATCAATACATCTTCTGCCCCACATCCACACTGTAAAATCATTTCAAGATCACTGAATAGATTTGGGATTGATTTCAGCTTAGGGTTCCTGTGGAAAAAAAATAAAAACCCCTTAAAAATCCATTCCCCATCAACCACTTATCTTAATCAATTTATCTGGGAATTGGGTTTTTAAACAGAGTCTAATTTACTTTTACAAAATGAAGATTAAGGGGAAATCATTTTTCTTTTTTGATAAGTGGTACCTTGAGATTGAGAGTAAAGGAGGAATGCGATGAGGGGGACCGTCGGCATGGAATGCGAAAATGCAGAGCCACAAACCCGTAACTTTCCCTTCAAACAGCTCTGAAACTCGAAATTTCTGCAATTTAAGAAGTGGGTTTGCTGCCATTTCCGTATATGGACCGTTCCTTTTAAAGACAAACTCTCTCTCCACCTCATTTTCCTTCCCATCCGCCAATCTATACACATGCAAACTCCTGATCAACTCTGCAGAAACCCCAGAAAAAACAACACAACAGAAAATAAGTAAACGAAACAAGATCTACAGGGAGCTGAACAAAAGCAGAGGAGATCAAGACAAAGTACCTCTGTTGATAGTATTTTCGAAGACCAAGAGAGTTGCTAGGGAACTGGCTTTAGCCAACTCCATGACACCATTAATCTGGTGAAGCTAAGTGGAAATAAAGAATGATAATTTATACGGTCTAACACCTGTCTGCATGCTGCCACAGGGTCACAGGATGATTTTTTAATTCATTTTCCCGTCCCCCAATTTCTACAGAAATACAAACACCTTTTCGTTTGTTTGTCCCTATTTACCAATTTCTGTCTTTTTGGGTATCTTGTTTGATGTTTTCACTAAATTCTGTCAGAGTCCTCTCCACTGTTTATCTGACAAGTGAAAAAGAGAGTTTTTTTTTTTTTTAATCTAACAATAATAAGTTAAAAGAAAATCCTTTCACTTTTTAACTTTTCAACTCGAAATTTAAGTTTAAGAGCCTAAAACAGGGTTTCTTACTTGAACTTCAGAGC